ATGTCATGGGGCCTATGAGGACTTTCTCGAAGGGTGGTGCCAAATACATTCGTACGTTTCTGGATATTTTTCAAGATATGTGGCGATTTCTATAATCAAGAACAAGAGTGAAGTGGTTGGCAAGTTCAAGGAGTTTCTGACGCTTTACGAGAACCAATGAGGTGCGCGACTGAGGTGTTTGCAATCTGACAACGGAACCAAATTCGTAAACAAGACAATGGCTGGAATATGTCAAACATAACGGCATTGTACACCAACGCTCCATTCCATACAGCCCTCAGCAGATTAGAGTGGCGAAGCGTATACACAGGACTATCATGGAGAAGGCCCACAGCATGTTGCATTACAAGAGCGTCTCGACGGAATGGTGGGTGAAAGCGGTTAACACAGCGGTTTATCTAATTAACCGCTCCAGCAATACGGCCCATCCAGACACCACACCCTACAAGCTGGTTTTCAAGATGAAGCCTCAAATGGATCACTTGCGCGTGAGTTTCAAGTGTATGTTTCTCGGCTGCGCAGAGAATGTCAAGGGCTATCGCGTGTTTGACTTGGAGAATGCCAAGATCAGAGTGAATCGCTCTGTGAAGTTGGATGAGCGTGAGGTGGGCGGCATTTACGACGCGCAAGAGGTCAAGCCGAAACGAATCATTCAAGTAATGAAGGGTGGTGATGAAGTCAAGGTTCAGCATCAAGTGGATCGCCAGCCAGTTCTGGACGAGCCGATGGGAGCTGTCGAAGAGACAGTTGCGGATGTCAAATCGATGATCACGCGCCAAGCATCGATGTACAGCGGCTAATTTCTTCTGTGATCCCTATGTATAACAGACTAGAGCTTATGGAGTATCATCAACCGACCCAAGTGCAACACGAAGATTGGTTGGTAGTTCGGCCTGAAGTGGAGCGAACAAGAGCAAGACGTGAGCCGATGCTCATGATAAGGAACGGCTCAGATGACGAAGAGTCGGCAGAAGGCAGTAAAGATCCACCAACTCCGAAACGTGCTAAGATTGACGAGGATGAACTAATTGCAGAAGCTGTTCTTGCCTACGCTGTTAGCATTGACGATGATACGGACCTACCAACTACGATGCTCAAGCAATAGCAAGCGACGACGCGATGAAATGGCGTGAAGCAATGGATGCTGAGCTTCGCTCTGATGAAGAAAATCGAACGTGGACATTGAAGCCACGAGGAAAGATCAAGCGCACAATTGGATCACGACGGGTATTCGCCAAGAAGCGTGATCAAAATGGCGATGTCGTGCGTTACAACGCACGACTGGTCGCGAAAGGATTCAAGCAAAAGTATGGCGTCGACTTTTTCGAGATTTATTCTCCGGTCGTTAACATGAGTTCAATCTGGATAATCCACGCAGTATGTGCTGAATGCGACCATCAAATGAAACAACTGAACGTCGACACGGCTTTCTCAACAGCGTGTTAACGGACAACGTTTTTATGGAAGTTCCGCTAGGTGTCAACAATTATCAAGGATACATATGTCAGCTAAACAAGACCTTCTACGGACTGAAACAAGCAGCAAGTGCTTGGAACTAGACGATTCATCGTGTCTTCGTGAGGAATGGCTTCAAGAGTTGCGGGGAAGATCAATGTGTTTATGTCAAGAGCACGAATAAAGGGTTTGGCTACGTTCGACTATATGTGGATGACATGATTATCGCAGCAAGAACCAGCGAAGAAATAAATGACGGTAAGGACGTACTCAAGAATGCTTTCAAGATGAAGGAGTTGGGTATGGGAATTGATCACGACAAGTCAGCTGGAACTTTGATGATCAAGCAGACTCGCTACATCGGCGACGTGGTCAAGCGATTCGGTTAACAAAATACCAAGAGCGTGGATAACCCATGCGCATTAGGATTGATGCTGTCATCAAAGCATTCACTAACAACGGAAGAGAAACGGTCAGCAATGCGATCCAAGCCTTATCGCTCTTTGATTGGATGCTTGCTGTGCGTAACGAAATGTACTCGACCGGATGTTGCGTACGTGGTAACACAGCTATCACGATTTTTGGAGAACCCGGGACTACAACATTGGAGCGCAGCAATTCGAGTGGTAAGGTACTTGAAGACTACGA